CATGGTGATACATTTCCGTGAAAGAGAAATAATTCTGTTTTCGTTCTGGAAGACTGGAACAGTTTCTGGTCAGTCTATTCTGCATTAGTCATGTAATCCATAAGTTTAGCTTCAGACTCAAGTTCCTACCTGGATTTGTTGTCCAGCCAAACCCACCCCATTTCTGATCTTACTATGAGCGAAATGATAGTCTCGTTCAGGGATGGCTGTATCTATGTTCATCTCATTTCTTCTTTGTATTTTGTATGAAGCGATCAAAGGATTTCGTCTATTCCTAGCCATCTACCACGTTAAGGTTAGTTCCTTCCCCACCTGTTCCAGCCGTGTTACTTTCCCCCATGCTATTTGCTCTCACCCACCACACTTTCTGTGAATGGGGTCAACTTTGCGTACCCCGTTGCGGGAGACGGTCAAGACAATCATAATTTGCCGCTTCGTCACACGCGGCAATGGGCGCGGCGTTTTCTTATTTGCATTAGCCTGTCTATTGGAATACCGGATTTCACTATGACTGCGACTACGTAGATATTTCTGGCTATTTTCGGTATACAATGTCTATTGATGTCATCTACGGCCTAGAAACATTGTCATTTGCGAGCGAGCGACTCGGAAATAAAACTTCTCAGATGATCAGGCTGTCAGAAAACTTGCCCGTGAAGGCAGTTTTGCTCCCTGACCACGAAGTCATGGTCGTTTTACATTGAGTCATCATCACGCGTTACACATCTTCAAGGGCAGCTAGACTAATGTATTTCCTAAAATGTGATGTTTTTGCTCGGAGGCTGAGATTATCCTAGGAAAGGTTTTGACGGTTTCATGGTCTGAGTAGGCTTGAATTGATGTCATGGCAGAGCATCTTTGGGAGAACCTCTTTAGGAGAGGGGCGTGGAACTCAGTCACTGAAGTGTGCGTACTACTTGCCTCCTAAAATTATTCCGTTTGTGAACTTTCCCCGATTTTCCCGTTTCATTTTCGCTGTGTACCTCGTATGTCTTCTTTTGCAATGCAAGGTAACAGAAGCGGAAGGGTAAACCAGTTCGTTATAATGATACTCGCCTACGAACAGGTTTACATCAGTCTTTCGTCACAGACAAGAGTCTTCCCAAGTGTGCCTTCCTCTTCAGCGTTGTATTTGCAGCTATGAAGTCAGCGTACGTCATTGTTGGAGAACCCCACTGGGGGTCGTATCTGGTCACTGAAGGAGCTAGGGGTCGTCAGGGCTGCTTTCGCTCCGTTTTGTCACTTCACTGTTTAGTGCGCGTTGTCTGCAGCAATATGCTCAAGTTCGCTACGGATGAAGGGCGTATCAGGCAGTATGTGAGTGCCACGGCGCCAAACCCGTTCTCCGATAGCTGTTGATGAGGGTACGCGACAACAATAGGTAGAAAGACAAGTGGTACGAACGATATGAAACAGTCTTGTCACTTGGTCAGTGGTGCTGAACGGGTTTGGCACCGCGTCAGGCTCACACGCCCCTTCGTCCGCAGCAAACTAGACTGTAGTCT